GCCCTGATGTGACTGGGGAAAAAAACCCGAACAGTGGTGTAGCGCGGGGACAGAGCCGAGGTTGCGCTGGTAGCGCTGCAAACCGCGCTCGCTGGATGAGTGGAACGTGATGCTGGTTAAAATGTGTGTATGCGGTGGGTGGATGGGAGGAGGGACCGTGCTCAGAGGTGTGTCCCAGGCGGAAAAAAAAAAAAGTTTCCCCAGCTGTTTGTAGCAAAATGAGGGAATGTTTGTTTCTGGAGACGCTTCGCTGGCTGTATATAATCGCTGCTTGCAGCATGATATCTTGCAGACTCAGATCTGCTTTATGAGAGTGCATGTAGGAGTATCTACTACAGCATAGGGCTGAGTATCAACAAAAGTGTTTTCCTGACTAAAGCAGACGTGCTTACTGCCGTAAATGCTACTTCAGTTTTCCATGCTAACGTTTCACTAACCTTAAGAACATTCGTTAAGATATCTCTTCGTAAAGTTAACTTTTTGGGATTTTTAAAATTCATAACTGTTTTTTAATCATGACTTGTTAGGGTTCAGTGTTGCATTTACATCCTCTACAGAAGCTGTGAATCTTGCTGTAAAATAGTGAGTAGGTCTTTGGGGTTGGTATAGCTCCGGATTTGAAGGGTACGTTTACGTAGTATTTTCCAGTAATATCGCTATCCATATGTATTGGATTGCAGTTTCTGCTACAAGAGTGGTAGAGGTAGTAGCTTAGATTTGTAGCGTTAATAAATATGTGTGCAAGTTCAAGTAGCTTTGTAGTTAGTTTACCCACACTGAAGTTGCTCAGCAATTCCCTCCTCTCCTGTGGTGACTCTCTCTAATGGTACAGATCCCTTGGAATCTGCTGTTGGGATGCTGAGTGTATGCTCTCATCTGCTGCATTACCCAAGGTCCCGAATTTAAAGATAAGGTCCAGCTTTTCTACCACGGTTGTTGCAGGGTCTGCCATGTAGATGTACCTCAGGGGAGGGTTTTATAAGGGTGAGTTTTCACCTGAGTTTAACTGAGTTGCAGGTGTAACTGGACAGTTCTGCAGCGAAGAAATGTCCCTGCAAAAGGTTGAGGCCGGGGATGGGGGAAGGGAGCCCAGAGCGGTATTAAGTGTGTATTGGCTTTTCTGCTGAGAAGTTCTGGGTCAGTAAGGCGCAGGCACATCTTTCTTTTTAGAGGGTAGGTGAGGTGATCATTAAACTTCTTACTTTCTTCTTGGTTAGCTATATTGCGTGTCAGTGTTTTGTAAATACAGTATTTTATGTAAAACTATTCATACGTAGAGAATTAACTCAGAAGTTTCAGTGCTAATTGGTAAAATTCTGATGTGCATACTTCTCTTGTGAACTTGGTCTTGGTTATGTTATTGGGATGCTTAAAGGGCATAATTTTAATCCTGTAATATAGAAGCCCTGGAAAAAAAATTAATGGTAAACCAGTCAGTGTTTTTTAATTATACAGGCTTTTGAATTGATGCTTTACTGCAGTTTCTGTATAGTGCAAATTTAGCTAGAAATCTACTCTTTCATTTAAATAATAAGTTCAAATGTTTGGAAGTAAAAATCTTGGAACTGAGAATTAAAAGAAAAAAAGCGTATTCTGCCGGAGTTTGTGTGACTGATGAGTCCAACAAAACATCTAGGTGAAACGTGTGTCATGGCTTTGCTTGGTAATGCCTATTTGATCATTAAAACTTGATGTTGGAGGGTGACTTAAGAGGAGACAGCTTCAGGAGGGAATTTTGCATAGTTCTGAGGTAGTGTATTTTACATTAGATCTGCCTCTATAGGAAGTAGGAAATGAGAAATTCATTTTTTCTGCAGAAGTAATGCAAAATAAAAGTCATACAGAGATACCTGCATCTAGAACGATGGGATGAATAGCTGCATCCAGAATGATGGAAAGAATTAAAGGACTGGTATAGAATTAAAAATTTGAAAATATGTTCATATGGGGTTTCTTCTCTTGGGGGGTTGAGTGGTTTTTTTCTTTTTTTTTTTCCCCCTCGAGTAAAGCTGGTGTATTTCTGCTCGCAGAAAAGATTGGATTTACAATTAAGCAGTATGAACTGGAGATCATAGAGTAAGTCTAAGGAGCTTAGTTATTGACTTGAATGGGTTTATTAATAGTCTGCTTAATGATTCAGTTATGTTATTCTCTATTTTCTGCAGAATGCTTGGATGCAAAGTCTCTTCTAGTCACATTATTGTCTATATTTTCTTGGAATGTCTTTTTATACATAGATATTGTCTGCTTTGTGCAGTAATAACAATTAGCAGTCATTTTCCAGCTTCTTGGCAATAGCTTTCCTCAGTAACTGCTCTCTAGTGCTGCTATTAGATTCACAAACTCTGTCTATACTGAAAATTTACAAATTCTGCAATACTTCTACTTACAAGGTACCTCTCAGCTTACAGCGATTCAGTTCTTCATCGCTGGGTTTTACTTTCCACGCAGCCTTTTTCTGTGTGGAATTTCTGGATCAGTAGATGTGTCTTTTGCGAAGAACTGGCACTGTTTGTCTTCACAGGATAAATTAAATATGTTTAGTACATAAATAAGGGAGGGAAGTACCTGATACTAGTACATATATACCAGTGGCTTTCTTTAAAGTTAAAAGTTCTCTGTCACCTCAGTGCTTATAAAATGTGTTTGCCTTGCAATTGCTTTCAATGATCTGTTTCTTGCATTTTCATAATTTTGCTTGTGAAATGTTGCCCTTTCTTAGGGAAACAATAGCAAGGTGATGTCAGTCTTCAGTTCTAATAGCAAGAACTTAGTGCGGAGATGTTGAGCAAACAGTTAGTAACATATATTTCTAATTGACCAGGTGTGGTAGAATAAGATACATATTCTTGCTGATAGTCTTCCTTAGCTCAACATTTATGGTCTTTCTCCATTTTTTAGATAAAATGTATATGCTAAGGTCTCTTGTTCTTTCAGCAAACAGTGTGTGGAATATAGATTGAAGAATTAGTTTTAATTTCTTGTGAATCCAAGCTAAACATTCTGCTACTGTCTGCTAATAAAAATAGGGGCACTTTTTGGTACTTGAGCCAGCTGTCACTGTCAGACAAGTAGTAGCCTGTTGGTATTTCTGCTTGCGAGGTGACAAGGGGTAATGGTAATCAGAATACTCTGATTGCTATTCCCTGTCCCTTTCAGCAGGTAGTAGAACTCTTATACTTCCTTACATTTCTCTACTGTTCATCCCTTCTTTGTGTTGCACTTCTACTCATTATTTTTTATTTCTTCTGGGATGTAAACATGCTTTGCCGCGAGGCGTTGGTGTGTTTTTTTCTCCTTTAGAAGCAGTAGGCAGTGAGTACGTTAAATTTATTTTTTCCCTTTGCCTTCTTATAGTGGTAAGAAGGAGAGGGTGTTTTTGCACTTATTATGGTCTGCATCATGTTGTAGGGGAATGTTCTGAGGTTTTTGAGTTTTCATTGGTGTACGGGTTGTGGTTGGAGCTTGGATGTTCTCCGTGTTTACTATGTAGTGAGCTATGGAGATGACCTTTTCCAGTTTCAGCTAGTCAGTACAGATTGCATTTCTGGGCCTTGCCAGGTTTAGTAGTTCTGAAATTGGATATCATGCATGTATTTCCTGATTTAATGTCTGTGTATTAGAAAAAACACAATAGTTCCTCTGTGAAAAAATGTGGGAAGCAAGTTGATGTTCTGTCCGAGACTTGCATTGTTTAAAATTTTAAAATATGTATTTAAAAGAGTAAAATGGATCTGAAAGCAGTTCTTGCCCAGTTAAGCTTTTAAGTCTGGAGAAAAATACTGCCTCTTAGGAGAAATGGGAGGTACGATAAGGCAGCAGTCATGCTGTGTGCTCCAGTACATTGGTCAGAATAAATGTAAAATATAAACTGGTAATCAATATATTTTGATGCTATCAGGCAGAAGATGGGAGGCTGAAAAGCTGATTAGCGGATGAAAGGATAAGAAGCAAAGTTGCAAAACAAAGTTGATAATTTTAGATAACCTGACAGAGGATTAGTCAAAAGGTGATACAATAATATCATGTTGCTTGTGTGAGGAGAAGCCTTCTAATCCATCTAAATGAGTGGTGAAGTAAAAGTCATTGACATTTTTATTTGCATTTAATTTTCATAATTTTATCATGACTCTTGACAGAGTTTTAAAAAGTACTTTAGTGATAAACAGTTTTTCAGTAATGTATTAAATTTTTTGGAACGAAGCCTGTTCTGTAATAAGAGAAATTTATGCCCTTGGACTTAGTAGCAGTCTACAAAGAACATAGTTTTTATGAATACTGTTCACTTTCTTCTGTTACATTTGAAGATTTTCATATTCTAACCTCTATTTTGCTAGCTGAAAATGCTTTTTCCTGTTCCTCTGATCATTTTGTATCCTAAGGTTGTAGGGTTTTTTCCCTACTCAAGGTTCTTTTTTCCTTACAGCAAACATTGGGTTGTACCTTGAAGTTCTCTACTGTGTTCTTCACGTGGCAAAAGTAGACTTTGTGAGAAGGTTTCACAAGTTAATTTAAAAGCATGACTTAAAATCAAGAAGCAAAGTGTTTGGAAAGCTGTTTACCAGCCTTCTTGTTTTAAGACTGGTCTATTAAGTCTCCACATGATCAGAACTGAGGAATGCCCGGGCTGCTCCAAGGCAGTCCTTGCTGACTTTTCTGGCCCTGTGACCTCTCTGCATAAATTTTATGACAGTATCATATGAGTGGTAGGAAAGGGGTTCACTTCTAGGGGATTGAAGGAACTCTTCAGGGATTTGCCAGTCTACTGTGGACTAAATATATTTTGGCCCTGGGGCAATCCAGTGGGAGTAGGCCCTCTTGTCTTGCTGCTTCTTACAGCCAAGAGATACAAATTACTCAGCAGGCCCATGCCAATATCCTCTAGTTATAAACTTTGTCTTATGAGCTGAAGAGACACAGGTTGAGGTTGTCCAGCTCTACTCCTGTACGTTTGAGAATCTTTTAACTCTCTCCTGGGACATTTGGGCATTCTTAGAAATAATCTGGTGACTCTTTCTAGAGAAGATGGAAATGCCATAGAGTACATTTTATTTTCTTACTACAGCCGACAGTAGAATCGACTTTTTATACAGCGGTACCATAGCTTTGTGATCTAAAAGCTA